CCTTTCCCAGTGGATAGCAACCTTATGGGTCTGGGGAGCTTTCTGGTTTTCGGTGAATCTTGTGAAAAAGCCCATACCGCAACTCGTTAACAGTTAAGAAAAAGACATCACCCAGGGTCACCGGGCAGGCTGGAGACTGGGGCTTTGCAGAAATTTAACCTTCCTCAAAAGTTTGCTTAGGGCAAGTGCCGATGAATAAGAAACCAAGAGAACCTGTGTACTTTCCTCAAGAGTTGACAATTCTTAAAGCAAACATGCCAGAGGGGGTCCTGCCTGGAAGAGACAGGCTGAAGAAGCGGCAAAGCGCCCACACCGAGGAAGGCCGGCAGCTGACAGTTCAGGGCTCAGTTCAGGTGCCGCCAGCCACATGCACCTCTGTGCTGAGCTGAAGTGGAGGACCCGATCCGGCCCTGGGCCGCATCGGATGAGCCACAGCCCTGGAGGGATTTGTCGGATGGCTGGTACAAACAACTGTCAACGCTGAGATCAAATAAGGTACCTACGCTCTGCTCCCAGTTTAAAAGGACGCATTACTCTTTATTTCAAAACCATAATAATTTTTTTTTAAATTTACTCACTCATCCCAACTCATCACTCTAGTTTTCTAAGAGCAACCATGCTTGGAGCCATCACGGGCTAGACGGGCCCCAGGCACACACAAACCAGGAGCAAAAGCAGGCAGACGCTCTCTCCTCCCTCCCTCCCTCCTTCTTTCAGCCATGCTGGTGAATGGAGCTCCAGAGCATCCAATTCAGTATGCCTCCACAGAACAGAGGGGGCACTCTCTCCTCGCTGTCTTCTCCCAGGCCTTCCCCCCTCAGTGCTGTCACTGTCACCCCAGGTGTCAGATCACACCCAAAATAAACAGAACCGCAAAACAAAAAGTTAAGACAAGAGTGTAGAAAGAATACTGGGAAGTGGGGGGACAGAGCTGGGAAAGACTGGGTTGTTTTCTGGTTCTGTTCTAGTTCACTGGAACCCCGTCACACACCACATAAGCATCCAGTTCCTATTACTTCCCTCATTTTTCAGACACTATTCTATGCCATTACTGCAGGGGTGGGGAACCTTTTTCCTCCAAGGACCATTGGAGGTTTATAACATCCTTCGCGGGCCATACAACATTATCACCGTAAGCATTAGCCTGCTATACTGGGTCCAACATTTAATGAACTCCCCCCTAACACCTTGGCAGGGCCAGACTAAATGATCGCGGCCTGCTGGCCAGACGCTCTCCACCCCTGCATCACTGGATATGGAATGAAAGATGCAGAAAGCTGAGCGGAGAAGCATCAATCATAACAGCCAAAGCAAACGGGGCTCAATGATCTTAAGGGCTCCTCAAACTGTGACCACCACACCCCATTTCCCACAAAAATAAATAAGGTTCAAGAGAGCCCAGCCTGACATCTGCCAATCCGGAAACCTTCCCGTCCACACGTCCCTTCAGTGAGGAGAAGTCCTGCGGCATCTGCAGCCAGGGTGGCGGGAGCTTTCTCAGGGAAGGGGCTGCATCTGTGCCAGCCCAACATTCCTGTACGCGGCCAGATGGGCTCAGAGCGCGACATCATTTCATGTGCCATTTATTTAAACACGCTTTTCAGAACAAAGCTTTGGTGACTGCAAACAAAAGCTTGGGTTGGCGGCTTAAAGCAAATCATACACAGAGGACTTAAGGGAAACCAGAGGGTAGATATGGGGCCAGGCAGCTGGACGATGGAGAGCGCCACGGTTTCACCAGGAACCATAGCTGTGATGGCTCCTCGGCAGGGGTGGGGGGGCACATCCGGTGAGGGGCAAGCCATGTTAGGCCTCAGTGGCTAGACCTGACCTCTTGCCATAGCAAGTGGTTTCAGTACACACAGCTCTGTCGTCGCCTGTAGACACGAAGGGTGTTCCATAGAGTCCGCGACAAAGGAGGCAGGCAGGTTACCTGAGAGCCGGTAACCGCAGTCTACGGAGCCACGTTCAGAACGCAATTCTGACTCCTGTTCTAACACAACGATCGATCACGTCTATCGAACAAGGTGACCGTGTTTGCCTCACCGAGTCGCACGTCGGGCACCGAGAGCCTGCTCGTGCTTCAGGAACGTGGGAGCTGGTTAGTGAGGGCGCCGCCCGAGCGCCCACTGTATCTGTAGCGGGGCTAGTCAGGGCCATGGTTACTAATGTGGCTTCTGGAAACTGCAGCTCCTCCACCGAGGATGCCTTCTGTCCGTAATCACAGCGTTTCGCCCCTGCAAACCTCACCCGTTAGAGGACGCTTGCCTTTTTTCCTGTGGCCATGTCTTCATTTGACACGTTGCAATAACCCCTCAGAAATGTTTATTATGTTTCTGAACTTCTCTTGTGCCTGAATTTAGCTTCGCTAAAGAATCGGCCAGTGTTTACATTCAATATGTACACTGTTTTAATCACAGACACTTTCTGCTTTGATGGCTTTGGAAAATTACAGCTTCTCCAAACCACACCTATATTTGGGGAGGGAGACTGTTGACTACTTCACAACAACTCTATTTTTCCTTCCACCTTGGACATCTGCTTAGTGTTCAGTGAAATATGACGTTAGACTTCATTCCCCTGTCCGGAGAGCACAGGCAGGATCTGTAAGTCTCCTCTGTTATAAACCAGGGTGCACTGGGGTCCAGGATGATGAAAAGCTCTCTCGAGAAACAACTCTCCCTAGAGAAGCTGTAAATCCTGCTTAAGGCAGTCTCAGTGTCTCACGCTGTCTCAGCAAAAGGCCCCTCTGCCTTTTCAATCGCTGAAAACCGGGGTCATCCTTGACTTCTTTCTCTTAAAGCCGTATCCAACTTATTAACACAACCGGTCATCCCCACCTTGAAAATGTCCCAAAGCGACGACTCCTCACTTCTTACTCACTTGCCACAACCATGGTTCAAGTTCCTACAATGGCCACAAGGCCCCATGGGATCTGTAGCTGTACCACCCTGACCTATAGTTCCACCAGCCGCACTGGCCTCTTTGCTCTCTCTCTCTCTCTCTCTCTCTCTCTCTCTCTCTCTCTCTCACGCTCTGTGACTGAGCTATTTCCTTGGCCTGAGGCTCTCACCTCATCCATAGAGCTCCCTCCCTCATGTGATTGCTGCCTTGATGGTTTCTCATTAAAGAAGCTTTCTGACCCCCTCTGTAAACTAATACCTACCTTCACAGTCCCTTTCACTCTGACTCAGGTTTACCACGCACCTGATAGCCCCCTGGCTTATCACCATGTGACAAGTTACACAGTTCTTTTTAAAAGTATGTTTTTATTGATTTTATAGAGAGAGAAAGGGAGAAGGATAGAGAGACAGAAACACTGATGAGAGAGAATCTGCTGCCTCCTGCATACCCCCACTGGGGATCAAGCCCGAAATCCAGGCATGTACCCTGACTGGAATCAAACTGCAATCCCTTGGTGCATAGGATGACGCTCAATCACTGAGCCACACTGGCCGGGCACAAGTTATACATTTATCAGTTGTCATCCCTCAATAGAATGTAAGCTGTAGGGGAAGAACTCTTTTAGTCACTGCTGTTACACAGTGCCTGGGACATAATAGGAGCAGAGCACTTGCAGAATGAACGCATAAGTGAGTAAGTAAAGGTACAACAGCGGAGTCAAATTCCCAATAGCAACTTTCAGGTAGCAGAAAATGAATTTTTTATGTACAAAGTATACATTTTATGAACACATTTCAATTTTCTTACCCCTAAATCTAAAGAAAAACAGAAAATATCCCATATAATAAAAGCCTAATATGCTAAGTGCCGGTTCCCGAGGTCCCGGTTTTGACCCGATCCCACAGGCCAGAGCAAGGGAACCTCACTGGTGCACAAATTCATGCACCAGGCCTCTAGTCCTAAATAATATTTCAGTTAACACATGAAAGTGTTTTGAAGATTATAACAGAAAGCAGATGTTTAATAAGGGTTTTCAATCAGAGGTGCTTACCTTCGGAGCACACTGGAAATGCATGCCGGGCACAGGCAGCGTAGTGACATACATGGTAACACAGCGGTACAGGTATAACGTTCCGATGATAAAAAAGAACCTGCGCCCCACTATTGACCTAAGGGAAGAAGAGGGATGGGGGGAAACAAGGTTACTCGCTGTTTTTGCTTCTAATGTTACGTAAAACAGTGCTTGACAGAATGGCATTAACAGACTGCAGTTTCACAGCTTATTTCTGAGCTACCCCTCCTTACAATTCCACAGAGCGGCTGCTCCGCATTCTTCACATGCTGTAATCAGTCTAGGTGGTCTGGGCCCTAAAGGAGTTGAGTTTGTGGGGACTGAGGGTTCTAGAAAACCACCTCTCCAAAAGAAGTCACTGTTTGAGAGAAAATTCAATGAGCCTGTCTGTTTCCAGTCAACTCAGTGCATTATAGAGCCCTCTCGGGAACATACCAAAGGTATAAGCAACCCACGGCCACTGAGGAATTAACAAAAGAGCTCAGGTCATGCCACATAATTGGACACACAGGGAAATGGGACGACTCATTAAACCTGTTATATAAGAAACAAGGATTATTTGGGGACCATCCAACAGTATTTTGACAACCTGGGCATTAACTTTTGTCTATGACTACACTATAGATTTTCAGAGAATATGCTGAAGATATTCAGAGTATCCTCGTGCATTTAAGAATATTTAATAATGAAGTTATAAACTGACTAGTCTACCCTTATTCAATCTTGACCAAAAGAGGCAAAAATAAACAAAAGCACAAGTCCTTTTTCACTTTATCATTTTTGGTGGAGATCGTTGTCTTGACCGACATTAGCCCGTCCTACACCATCCATGTCCTCGGTCTAAGGCGGCGGTTCCCAGCGGCTGACCTTGAGCACACTATTTGTACCACTGCCGCAACGGTACCAAATGGGCATAAGGGTTCTGAGTAGCCTCACTTACAGGTGAAGACGGAAACTCCTCTTCTGTTGTGAAGTTTGGGGGTGGGTCTACAAACTCTGGGCTCTGGGGATTAAGAGGCCGGTGGGATCCCTAGAATTACTAGTTGGAACTTCCCTAGTACACACACTATATTATTCCAGGTCTCCCATTTTCAGAGCTCTCAAACTTCCAAAGCTGGTAATGGTCAGACTTCTGGACAAACAGGCAGTTTGAGGCATGTGGCATATTTTTATGTATGTATGTATGTATGTATGTATGTGTTTTAATCCTAACTGGAGGACATGCTTATTGATGAGAGAGAGAGAGAGAGAGAGAGAGATTGATTTTAAGTTTTCTACAAGATTGCGGTCTGAAACATATCAGGTAACTGCTGGGGCTTCTCTTTTAAAGAATCATGGACAAATATATTTTTAGAACCTTATTTCCAGTAGCTATTTTAAGAATATTCCAGGGTTTCTGGGGTCAAAATAGAGAGGAACACCACCTTGAGGAGTTGATGAAAGTATGCATTTATTGCAAGGCTCTGCTTTCAAAGGCTTGCTATTCGGGCTCTGCCTTTTTTAGCACTGAAAAGGGACAGGGGGTAGACACTGCGGAGTCTCTCCATTTGGTTGAGTGAAAGATGATTCACATTTTGATTCAACCCCAGGCCCTCAAAGAGGACTGAGCTGTGCTCCATGTGCTAGAGTAGGGAAGTGATAAGCAGGAATTCCATGAGTCAATTATACTCATTCCACTGTTCTGAGTTCAGCTGTACAGAAAATTAACTAAGAAGGGAAAGCATGCCCTCTGCAGCCTTGTTTAGGAAAAGAGCTACAACCAATGACTTTTCCCATAGCTACGAAGGTGTTTGACGAGAGAGAGAGAGAGAGAGAGAGAGAGAGAGAGAGAGAGAGATTTTGAGATTTCACATTCAGCCAGGATGGCTCAAAACAGGTTATAAAAATTACTCCACTAGTTCCTAAAACATACTCTCCAATTCTACCTCAAAAACGAAAGGGAAAATTAGTGTGATTTCCCCAGCACCTTTTTGATGATGGGTTGTGACCAAAGCAGTAGATATGACTAAAATATGTGGCCAGCTATGTGACCACAAGTTTTGACATGGTAGCAACAACCAGGTGAAGATTCAAACAAATTAAGATCCTCAGGTTGGAAGCTAGAAGATTTCTTTTCACACATATATGAATAAAACTTGGCTCTAAGTTAAAGGAGAAAGCACATCTTTGGCCCAAGCAGTCTCCTATTCAGTGTCAATTCCAGACAGAGAAGAGAAAAACACTAACGTTCAGTGTCGTGAAGGCCTATGGGGGTTGGGGGGCAGCATGGGGGCCGGGTAGAAGAGGTCAGTGGGGGTAAAAAAGGGAGACATCTGCAATACTTTCAACAATAAAGATAAATTAAAAAAACACTAAAGTTCAACAAATGTAGTTTACTTCCAGCCTAAGCATGACATAACTGACAACTTTAGCAGCAAAAAAATTCTACTAAGTAAAAGAAAATCGATAGCTATTTTACTTACACATATTAAGGCAGGGGCCCTCAAACTACGGCTCGCGGGCCACATGCAAATACAAATATTGTATTTGTTCCCGTTTTGTTTTTTTACTTCAAAATAAGATATGTGCAGTGTGCATAGGAATTTGTTCATAGTTTTTTTTTAAACTATAGTTCGGCCCTCCAACGGTCTGAGGGCGTGAACTGGCCCCCTGTTTAAAAAGTTTGAGGACCCCTGTATGAAGGAAACATATTAAGAGGGACACTTTAAGGAAAATGCTTAGGAATGACTTGTTGGTGGACTCAGTTTTTTAAACTGCAAACTTGCATGTAGGGGACTGTTCAGCAAAGACAGATTGAATTCTTCTAATCTCAAAGCAACAACCAATTGAAAGAACAATATAGCATAAATTCCCTCTTCTAAAAATGATCTTGTGGCATCAGTATTGAAATCCAACTGAACTCTGAATTTTTGAATTGTACTGATTAAATCGGCATACATTGCATTTTCAAAGGCCTCAGTTTGTGAATAATGTTTTGATCAAACTTTTATTTTAGTGGTTTCATTACTAGCATCTTATTAGAGAACATATATCTGAAAAATAAAGTGAGAAGGGAAAGGGAAGGGCTTTATTTTTTATGGAATTAACAGGAAAGAAACAACCACTTGAGAGCTATGTCCTATTTTCAAGTGTCTTCAAAGCAAAAGTACCTGGCTTAGTACTTCCTGATTCTGCTATTCCCAAACAGGGAGACCGAAACCGGGAACTAAAAGCTCCTTTGTGGTGCCCTGGAAACCAGACGTTTACTTTAGAAATCTAAAACCAAAACCGCATGGCCCACTTCTAAATTCAGTTTCTGAAACAGATTCTTGGGACTGGATTGCCACCAGGCCCAAGGAAAAGAAATGCAAAATGTGAGAACTCCTGAACAGAAGCAAACCTCAAAGCATGCTACCGTCTATATCAGTGGTTCTCAACCTTCCTAATGCCGCGACCCTTTAATACAGTTCCTCATTCTGTGGTGACCCCCCGTTTCATTGTTACAAATTGAACATAATTAAAGCATAGTGATTAAACACAAAAACAATATGTAATTATATATGTGTTTTCCGATGGTCTTAGGCGACCCCTGTGAAAGGGTTGTTCGACCCCCAAAGGGGTCACGACCCACAGTTCATACACAGAACTACATATATAGTCTCATGTATAGTCATTGCATGTGAGCAATGAAGAGAAAAGTTCCCAGCACTCCACTGACCCCGCCTGTCAAGAGCCTGAAATAACTCAAGCGTGATGAAGTGAATGTTCTTACTCCCCACGACTCTTGATTTATCATGCAAGTGCCACAGTGCCAAGTTGCTTGAAATCAGAACTGCACCTTAAATTCAAACTCTGAGTCACCCACCACAGCACCTCTGTTCTTTCCTATACAGCTGTCACTTCCAGGCACAGCTGTACCATCAATGCTTATTGAATAGTGACTGGTTATCCAATGTGGCAGACCTTTCTAGTGATCCCTTTCATCAAATGCCTGGATAAGACTGAATTTATGACATAAAACCAAGAAAGATAATTCCAAGCACACATCTATTCACATAAGTACAAACTAATGGCGCATTCTGCCCAACATGCCCCCCTCCCGCATCCCCTCCCCTCAAAAAATCCCAAATGTGTTAGACCTACTTACTTGTATCTCAGAAAAAGCCACTGGGTGATCCATAAGCCAACTAATATAATCCCATTTATTTCTGATACAGAAAATGCCCACTTCACCCGATCAATGTAATCAAAAAACTTGTCTGGGAGTGGAGGGCTGAGCTCCTTGGGAGGGACCCTCTCGTGCACGACTGTGATCATGACCGTCGTCAGGACGAGGTTGAACACAGCATACACAAACGCGATGCCCGTTTTCCACCACTCCAGGGGGAATTTGCTCCTGGAGTCCGTGGGCATCGAGATTTGGATATAGTCTGGGTACTTTTTGGAGCCCTTGCGCAGCCCATTGGATAAGCTCTTGGGTTTACCGGGGCCATTTTTCTCTTCTTCTTCGGCAGG